TAGCTATGAATATTTAATATCTTACCTGTTCTTGGTAACCTTTTTATTGACTTCACTATTAATATTATTAATATGCAGCTGGACTGATTATCACTAAACACAAAAGTAGGGTGCAGTCCATAGCAATAACTTTCTCCTTTTAAAAAAATTACTGGAAGAAGTTTTTTTTAAAGCTTATTCAGCAAGAATGATTATCTATTGCAAAGACAACACAAAAGGAATCAACTGTTTAAGGGAAGACTTGATATTTTAGTTATTCATGAAATAGTTTTAACTGAACCTGCAAATCTACTGAGAGCTAATAACCTCCCAACTGAATAAAATCAAAAGTTTTTCTTTATACGGGTTGATTATCTACAGCTTTTTGGTCAATTATCAACAAGTGTATTCATCTCCCCAAAAACACAGTTTAAGTATTAATAAAACATGAACCTAATTTTTCTAAACTTTAATTATTGCTGACTGTTGAAACTTATCAACTAAATGCCTTTTCTACCTCTGGTTTCCTTAGATCTTTTTGCCCCGCCCTAGTAGTTCAGGTCTGACCAACAGCACTGTCGTGATGACTAAAGACACAAGGTCTTTGTCTCAGATGAATATCTCTGACACTGAGATGACCATCTTATTTCACGTGGAACCCAGCATCAACGTGTCATTAGCCGTTTTCTTGTCTTACGGATCACCTCCCAACTCCACATATTACCACAACAAAACCATTTTGAACTACACAGGTAACATTCGTTATAATCTTCACAAACTTTTGCTGTGTGTGTTTCAGTTTTGGTGATGGACAGATTTATTTTGGTTTTAGATGACTATCGCTGGTTGATAACCCCAGAGATGTTGCAGAAGACTCAAGGGGCTTGGTACTTGGAAACCAGCCTTCTAAACTTCACGTTGGAAACTGAAGTGACACTAAACATCAACACATATTTTAGCAGGTGCCTCTACTGGCACACTGAGAAACTGGAATGGAGCGACGAGGGCTGCAGGGTATGCTTACCATTTTAGATCTACATAGGTATCAGCAGTTGATGCACATCCTACTGAGCAATGATACATGTTTCTGTGTGATGCAGGTGGGGGAGAAAAGTACTCCAGAGCTGACACAATGTTTGTGTAACCACATGACTCTCTTTGGGAGCTCCTTCTTTGTGATGCCAAACTACGTCGATGTGTCTCGAACAGCTGAGCTGTTTGCCACCGTGAATGAGAACTATGTGGTTTTGGCCCTGTTGTGTGCTTTCTATGGTCTTTATCTGATCACACTGATGTGGGCCTGCTATGCTGACCGCAGAGCAAGCTCTAAGGTCAGACATCCATGCAAACAATACAAACTTAAGATTTTACATTCTGTGTGTTGTTAAATAACTCATTTCAATTGGAATAAAGAGCTTCTTCTAGCTCATATAATTGCATTCTAAACTGTATATTCTACAGAGGAAGATAACGCTGCTAGAGGACAGTCACCCAGGAGCTCATTACAACTACCTGATTGGGATCCAGACGGGACATCGCAGGGGTGCTGGCACTTCTGCTAATGTAAGACTTATCAATTAACAGACAGAATTTTGCATTGCTGTGTTTTTTTACTATTTGATGTTGTCATACACTATGTGTTTCCAAACAATATATAGATGAAACAGTATTTTAAAATAATATTAACCCTATTTTGTATTTTTAAGCTCACGGAGCTAGCCAAACTTTGTGAGAAACTGAGGTATTTTACAGTTTAATGTAAATAAAGCAAGTCAGTGATCACAGCGCTTTTATCTCATTCTAATACTAGGGACTGAATCTCAAGTCAGCACATATTATGTTTTGATTGTGAAATTTTTCTTATATGGCAAATGTATCTTTATTCCTTTACAACAAAATCTGCTGTTTACTACCACAGTGTAGTGTAATCTAACACAAAATTACTATATATATATATATATATATATATATATATATATATATATATATATATAAATATATAAATATATATATATACATATATGCTAGTTCTTTTATGTCATGTCGTTCTTTTACGTGCGTCATTGTTGCTTCATTTATGTGCTGTCAATCAGTTCTTATTTCTGTCCTGCAGGTCACAATTAAGCTGACTGGCACCGAAGCAGACAGTACCATACATACTCTCACGGATCCAGACAAGCCAGTGTTTGAGAGAGGATCTTTTGATATGTTCCTTTTGTCCACACCTTTCCCACTTGGAGAACTTAAAACCCTGCGTCTGCAGCAGGACAACTCAGGAGGTCACCCATCATGGTAAATGAGATATCGCTTTTGAAACAATAAAGCTTTCCATGCTCATTCATACTAAAGCAGCAAAAAAAATAAATAAATAAAAAAAATGTACATGTTTTTTTCTTTTATAGCACTTTACCTATAACTCAGTATTTTATGATTTCTTTTCACATGTTAAGGTATGTCAGCAAAGTGACTATACAAGACCTGCAAACAAAAAATGTTTGGCACTTTTTCTGTAACTGCTGGCTGAGTTCTGACCAAGGAGATGGTATGACCAAGAAAACGTTCAATTCTGCAAAAACCAATGAGATCGCCAGCTTTAGGTCAGAATCTTCGTCTTTCTTTGATCCCGTTCCTACCTTTTGGCAAGGCTTGATTTAACTGTTATCTTGTTTTTATAGGAACATTTTCACGAGTCGAACGTCAACTGGTTTTAGGGATGAACACATCTGGGTGTCAATTGTTGATCCCCCCTCCCGCAGTCCATTTACTCGAGCTCAGAGGGTTTCCTGCTGCATGTGCTTGCTCCTGTGCACCATGGCCATCAACATTGCCTTCTGGAACATTCCTTTAGATCCAAACTCTAGTGTGCTCTTTTCAATGGGTGACTGCAAACTTTTCATCTAAATATCTTGATGATCTGAGGAGAAACGTTTTATGCACTAAGAAAAACATTTGAACACTAAATGAATACTTTAGAGAGGTTTAAAATCATTCAAATCTTGTTTCTATTGGGATGTATGGGTAGTGTTTACAATAAATTTGCCTAAACAAATTAGGAATTAGAACCACTGAGACGTTCAAAGAAACTGCTCCAACAATATCAAAACAAGACACAAAAATAGACCAAAACGAAAATCCTTGTTTTCTTAACTTTAAAAAAACATGAGAAAGACGTTATTTACTCATAAACAATAACAGAACAATAGGCACTGGATGAAAATGCCAAATACTAATTATTTCCAGTGGCACATTATATGTTTTATTTGAAGCTTTGAAATTTATACAGTCATATTCATATAACTTCTGATTGTGTTTATAGAGTAAAGATTTCTTAAAATAGACAATTCTGATCTCTGTAGCTAATGCAAAACTGAAAGCAATGTTAGAATAAACAAAAATGTGTTGATAAATATAGAAATTTATTGTAAAATTATTCTAGATTTTCTTTTAGACCCTTTATAAAAGGATTTTACCTGAAGTAAAATATACCCTGTTCATCTAATACAAAACAAAAAAGGGAACACCAAACATTCTTAAAAGTGTATTTTTATAGTATCATCTGATTTTATGTTAGATTAAAATAATGGTAGTAATATATTAATTCAATCCAATCCAGTATAGGTGAATTTAGATTGTCCCATTCATACTTTTAGAACTTTTATAATGTCTTAATAAATATCATATCAGTACACTGAAAGAAAAATACATATGAAGACAAAGAATACATCACAAACTTTGGAAATGTTACCATGATATAAAGAAAAAATTTTAAAATGCAAATTTATGAAGAAAAAAAAAGATACACTGAAATAAAAGATGCATTGAACATATTTGGCAGCTTTGTAAAAACAAGGGAGATGTGAGCAGTTTATAACACACAATTAACTTTTTTGAAATTTATTTAGACCCTTGACTACCTCTAAAGACATCAGTTATTTGAGGAGGCTCCATTTTTTTCAGTGTTTTATTCAGAAAACAATCCCTTGCAATTCTTTAAGATGGTTGATAGGCTGGTTCAGTTTTAGACTAAATAAGGTTAGCAAAATTGAATAGTCCTTAACTACGCCTAGGTTTGTGGCATAGTCTGTAGATCTCACTGTACTTAGCCCTTTTAAGCTCTGAGCTGTAATATTGCACTATCAGGTAAAAAACATAGTTTTTTTTCTTTTACAATAATGTTAAAGAACGTAGCAGTACTTTTGACTGATCCATTTTTAAAATGAATGAAAGAAAAGTAAAGGGAAATTTGTTTTACTACATTAAAAGCTTTCATGTAAGACGCTTTGAATTACTTCTGGCTGACAATGTCTTATTATTTTCACTCCAGGGTCCATCCAGATGACTTGGCAGGACCTCATGGTTGGTGTGCAGTGTGGCCTCCTCATGTTCCCCATCAACATCCTCATCATAACCATCTTCCGGAGCATTCGACCTCGCATTGTGTCACAATCCAAAAACGACAACCCTGATGAGATCTTCAAACCTCCCATTGTCACCATACCAACTATTCTAAGGGTGACTTTTGTTTTTTAAGATCAGATTTAAAAATTGTTAGACAGTTGAGCGCAGATAATAAAAAAATATATTTTATTGCAGGAAACCGAGCATCTGATTTCTCTTGTGAGCATGAATCCCAGGAACAAGATGTCCGAGACGCTCAAGCTTGAGGCCTCCTGTGACCTCGTACCAGCTTTGGAAAGGCTTCATATCCTTATCCAGTATATTCAAGGTATAGATTGTAGCCTGAAAAAAACAAACTATAAAACACATTGTATGTAATTAAAGGGGAGAAACATGCTAAATTACGTTTAGGTTTAAATAAAACTAGATGAGCTTCTAGAAAGGCAGACAATGAAATAAAAAAAATAAATCTAACAGCCCCAAGAAAATAAACAAAGCTGTTAACTAAAGTTACTGATGTTAGCAAATAATTTAGAAAGAAGCATTTCAAGCACATGTTATGTGTACCTAAGTCTTTAAGGAAAATTTCATCTGCCATAAAAGAACATTTTTTACACAAAGCAAAAAAAAAATGTTTTATGTAGGTTTTTTTGGCTGAATGCACTACAGGAACAACAATGTGTTTCAATATTATGACCTAAACTCCACCAAAACAGAGAGAGCTGTGGTAAATCTAATGAGGAAAAGGGAGGAATGTGTCCCTCCAGGAGATGCACATCTCTCATTACCTCATAAGGACCATTTACATCCCTATTCTTGTGGAAAAAAATAGATAAAAGTGCCATTAAATTTATAAATCTGCAATAAGGCAGACCTAAAAACCCATATCGCACAATATATGCATTACTTTTTACATTTCTTTTGTTTTGTTTTTTGTTGTGTTATTGGTGTTTTTTAATTAGCCATACTGTATGCATCATTTTTAAAGACAATAAAGGTTAAAATGGTAACTCTTAACTGGATTTATTACATCATAACAGCCTGTGCATGGAGTTACAGTTTGATTCTCTATAAAACTAAATACCTCCGCGTCTGCATGCCTCTGATAGAATCGTAATGTCAAGCTAGCCCTTATATTATTCCCCTACAGGTGAAAGTGAGAGCGACAACCACTGGGTTTACTGCAGCAAGTTCCTCCTGGCCGGGCTGTGCAACCTCCACATGAACCTGGAAAAACTGGATGCGAAAAACTTCTCATCTCCAGAAGAATACCAGAGTGCTCTCAATACCACCAACCTGCTGGTTCGCAAGGCTGAGATGGTTTTCACCAGTCATCTGTCCAACTGGTCAGCCCACTCACTTCCTCTTTTACATCTCCTCACTCATCCAATCCACTTTATTTATATAGAACATTTTAAAACATTTTTTCCAATGTGCTGTACATAAAAACAAACAAAAAAACCCAACATACCCATGTTTTCTGTCGTTTATTTCTCATTTCTACCTCTCTTGTTTTAACAGCCCAGCACCTGTGAGGAAGAAGAAGAAGGCAACAGCTGGATTTAAGCTTCCCTGGTGGTGTGTGTTCATTGGCTGGTTCCTGTTGATCTCCATCAGTGGTATATCCACTTACTTCACCCTACTGTATGGCTTCCAGTATGGCAAAGAGAAATCTATTAAATGGGTCATGTCTCTGGGCCTGTCCCTCTTTGAGAGCATCTTCATACTGCAGCCCCTGAAGGTGGGTTCTTTAAAGAGAATTATGTTCTGGTTAGAAAATGTATCACTTGTTGTGTACTTTTTGTCCAGTTTTTCACCTGTCTGTGAATACAAGACTTCTAAAGGATTTTTACTTATATGTTTTTTTTTTGTTTTGTTTCTCAGGTAATTGGTGTGGCTGTGGTCTTTGCCCTGCTGCTGAAGCCTGTGGCTGTGGAGGAAACTGAGGAGGCAGCACAGGTGCTGTTAGGTAAGATGGAGCGTAATATAGTAAGGCTAGTTGTTGTGGATAACAGCATATAATGTCCGCACCTGTGAGGGTTATATTCTTGCATATCAGATAAATGATATTCCTTTAATTTCTTAGTGTTCATCTCCCACCATGATGTCATTTCCTGAAATGTGCAACTTTTATCAATTGTTTTTATATTTTTTTATGGATGCACCAATATGATAATACGGGCCTTTGTTTGCTCATTAATTTACTACATATGTTTATGTATTTCCAGAGATGACAAAAACAATCATTAAACAGCCCATACTCCTGTACTTACTGCATAACTCTTCTTTCACAAACAAAAACTATAAAAACTAAAATATATATGTATGTACCTACAATTCTATGAAGATCAGGGAACAAACAAAGAATTTTACTTTTTTCCTGACCCTTCCTTTTTAATATCAGTGTGAAGTCTAAACGGCATGTCTTTTCCTGTAGGAGGGGCCTCTAGCCTCACCTGTCCTCCTCATATCAAACTATTTTTGGTTTTTCACTTCAGAGAGGATGTTTTCATAAAATATGCACTGCTTTATGTAAGAAAACTGAAATAGACATCGTGTGATGCAAGAATTGGCTTTGAACCGACCTGAAATACCTTCTGAATGTAATTTGACTTACAAATTATTTATCCACGACTCAAAAAGAGACCGGAGGTTGCCATGACAAGTTGTTACATGATGAATTTAGAGTGCTCTTACATAAATTTGACTGAAAAAACTGAATAAAACTGATGGGCAATTTTACTGTAGCATCTTGATTCACATCAAATTGATCCCCTCTGTTGAATTGTATTAGTGTTAAGTTGGCTCCTAAGCAAACTGAAGTGTTATGAGAGCTGAGGTAGTGTCCTCTCTGTTTTACAGCTCAACAAGACAGATGCAGGCGATACACCGGCAGGGATATGCTGTGAGGATGCAACACCCAGCCAGAGAGGCCGCGTTCTGCACCATCCTCCTCCCTGCTTTCCTTCAACACAAGCTAGTCTACAAATATCCAAAATAGTGCATTCTTATATTTGCATAAGTACAGTCTTTCTTTAGTGTGGGGACAAAGTAAATAGTAATGAAATGATTGACCAAATATGTAAACATGCTGATAAGTATGTATCTATATTCATGTAAACTGATGCTCAAAGTATGTCACTGCTCTATCATTAATTTGTAGAAGTGAAATCTTTTCAGTCTTATAAAAAGTAATGAAAGTAGGTAATAAAAAGTTTGTTTTTTTACAGAAGAAGCATATTTTTAATAGTCCGATATTAATTCAATTGATTGATTAAATTCAAGTTTCAGAATTATTTTTCAACTGCTTAAAATTATTGTAAAATAAACTAATATTGTCCTTGTTTTAATTTGAAAAGCTCTAATAAATTCTGGGCAACTAGGCAAAAAATAATGCAGGGTAAGAAATGCTAAAATTAGTAAATTTGTTTCAGAAACATGTTTCTTTCAGCATGTGTCAGTGTGTAACTTAAAATAAAAGTTTCTTTGGGGACTAGTGGAAGGGTACACTTATATAATTGCACATATGGGAACTAATGGATAATTGATCACCTTTTTCATTTCACTTTCATCCATGTAATGCCTGCTGATAAGGGGATTTTGATTTTTTTTCTTTTTTTTTTCTATCGTTGGCGGGTTCTTCTCTGAATGATTTATGACATTGACCTAAGTGCGTTTGTGTCGTTGCCTCTAGTTTGGAAATGCATGTTTCTCCTGTAGACATCTCAACATTTTGTGTTAGACATGTTACGATTCTAGCGGGATTAAAAGATCTTAATTCCTTTTCTGTTACAATTGGATGTGTGAATTTAAATAAAGTAATTTCTCTCAACTTTTTGGGGATTCATCTATCCATCCATTTATAAATGAACTCGCTTCTTTTTGCACAGGTTGTCACCCCATCACAGTAAGACTTGATAGTAGAGCTAGTTTGTAAATAAATATAAAATGCAATACATGTTTAGTGATTATAGAAAACAAACCTGCTTCAATGTATTATTCACTTGCCACAATAACTTCAAAAAATTACAAACCTTTGTTTTTATTTGTGGCAGAAAATTACCTAACACTAAAGGAACCTCTACTCGGACAAGAAGAAAATCACTAGTCACAGTAAAAGTTAAGGTCGTAGCTAAATTTATCCATGTAAGGTAGATAAACAGATCTAAACACTAAAACACAGGCCGAACTCTATTGTCTATTACCAAAAGGTGTTGATGGGAGATGTCCTGCTGATATTTCTTTCCAGGATAATGTCACAGCCACACAGGAACAGACCAGATGAAACTACTATGACGAGAAAAATCAGAGAACCAGAACATAAAATTATGTGTTGAACTAACAAATACTGCAGAATTATAGAATAGAGCAGAATGATGAAAAGGGGTCCCTGTGTCTTCCAGCAGTCTAAGCCTATAGCAGCATAACAGATAGCAGCTCTAACTATAAGCTTTATCAAAAAGGAACGTTTTAAGTCTAGTCTTAAAAGTACACAGGATGTCTGCCTCACGGACTAAAACTGGTGGTTGTTTCCATTGGTTCCACAGGAGAGGAGTTTGATAACTAAACCATAGGCTACCCCAGCCATAAAAACAGACAAAAAAACAAACAAAAATAGTTTAACACTTTACTTGTGTGTACTGGTGCATTTAAATAATTATCAATACATTTTTTTAGTTATAGAATTTAGAGGTGGATCTTATACAGAGTCATGTACTCCAAGTTGTATTTTTTGGTCATTTTAATTATTAAGGCTCATCCATAAATTGACATTTAATATGGAATTGTCTGTACAGCATCTACATTTAATAGTTGGTTGGGCCTCCTTTTGAATGGATGAGAGCATTTATATAAATTATGAGATTTGCATGGGGGCTGTCGAAGCAGACATCAACTGCCGTTTATACAATGTATAGCCTCACACCTCTTGAATGGGCTTTGCAGCATAATCCTCAGAAGGCTATGGTTATTCCCTTTTCCTGTGCAAACCTTCTTCCACTTAACGAGAATATCTGATACAGCATTCTGTGAATAACTAGCTTCTTTAGCATTAAGGTCTTGCTCACCTTTTGGGGAGTGTTACTGGCATAAATCAGAAGTCACAACTATGATTGTGTAGGCATTAATAAAAGATTACTCTATTTGCTGTTGATGTTGGTCCCAAACCCCCATTTTTGAATATGGGGTTTTCACTGTGATATGCATAAACAGAAAAAATAACTATACAAAGGCTAATGTTTTTTAACTCAATTAAAAAACATTTTTAAATGAACCTGAAGGTGTACGACCAATACACAAAATCGTTTTAAAATCCGCCAGGGACCCCTGCTGGACATCAGTGATATTACAATAAATTCAAACAGAAAATAAACTCAGAAGTAGATCCAGTTCCAAATAGTCTTTTATTAAATGTTCATATTAGCATACATTGTGGAAAGAAACTGCTAAACTCGTTCAACCTGACACATTGCTGTGCCTAAAGAAACAGAATGACATAAACAGTATAAGCATAAATGTCATAAGCATTTAATAAGACGTTGAACATAAAAAAAAAAAAATACGGAGCAGATCACAGCTCTGTAGTGTCGATCTCATTTTATATCCTACAAAACATATTAATTGGAAATAACAGTGTTTACAATCCAGACTGAAAGCCATTCTTTGTATCTCCAGAAACTGCTGAATCATCATTGACAAGGCCGCCGTTCCTGTGCCATGTAACCAGAGCCGGGTGTGGTAAGGTTACAGCGATGCGTCACGTCTGCACAAAGATAAAACCCTCAACCCATTTTACATTTTCAAAATGAACCCCATTCCTCTAGACAGAGCAGATTCTAATTTAATAAAAGTATGATTTTATCTTGTAATTTAAGAAAGAATACTTTTCATTTGTTACATAAAAGCAAACAAACACTCAACACAGGTAACATGACTCCAGTCTTGATGGGTGACAATTGTTTAGTCCATTCACAGACTGGCAAGGCCTCAGATGAAATACAACAGCTAAGGCAAATGCAGCAGTGCACACAGTATAAGACGCCTGCACACATTCCAGGAGACAACATAAAACGATCACTGCTGGGGTAAAACACCACATCCAGTCATATCCGATGGGTTCGAAGAAAGGAGTGCTTTTGAATTAGGTAATCATACATCTTAAAAGTACAAGCATTTGGTAAAACTGGCATTCAGGGAGGTATTTTTCAGAGGGATTGATTAGAAACGTACTCTTCAAATAATAAGCAATGAGCCTGCTGCCAAATGTCTTTTGATGTCCTGATAAATTAGTTGAGAAAGTTATTATCTACATCAATGAAAATGTTTTTTTTTTGGGAGGTATTGTATTTTTTACGACAAAATCTGATTCACTGATTCATGGGTTTCAACATTTTCCAACTTTTTTCTCAAGGCAACACACTTTTTTCCAGGTATTAAAGTAGCTCAGTGTGGGTTGCAGATCAGACAACCTTAGTTCAAAAGCAGGAAAACTACACAGACTGCACAGCACACTGTAGATAAAAGGCTTTTGTCTGTGTTTAGTTGCTTTAACTGCTGAGTGCAAGAACCTATAGTGAGAGGATATGTTATTAAATGCATCTTGTCACAGTGGGGAAACCTGTCGGGCTTGTTTGACTGCTCATGCTGAAGAGTCAACCAAGCCAGGGACCGTAAATGTTAGTCAAACATGAAACCACATGAAAAACAAATGAAATCTAGTTTTAAGTAATTTAATTGTTCAGGCTAGTTAAGACAGTGTGTATTTGAATGGAAACAAGTGGAAGGGGCTCAGTTTTCACATGAATGTAATTCAGAATATATATAGGTTTAAATATTTGTTGCAATTTAAAATGGGGAAAAAAAATCATGTAGCATTCGCATCCAGAAAGAGAGAAGACATTTCCTAGCAGACGGTGTTGGTGGGTGAGCATCCACACCTTCAGTTAGTAGGTCGTACTTGTGTAAAGGAGGTAAGAATATATGTATATTTTCTTTTAAAATCTTTGTAAAATTGCTTTATAAGGATTAGGGGATGGAGGAGAACTACCCAAATCTGATTCAAAACCTTAACCATTTGCCCAATTTAATGTTCTGGCTTGTGTAAGTGATGACACAGGCCTGTGAGCGAAAAAAACAAAACAAAAAGAAAACAGATCAATTGTGTTACATATTAGGTCTTCTTTTTCAGCTCCTCGAAACGTCGTGTCAAATCGTCAAAGTCGATGTCATCAGAGTTAGTGGTGTGTCCACCAATGGAGGAGGTTGGGAGTGTGTCTGGAACGGAGGGAAGTTCTGGTAGATTGTTGTGGTCATACGAGCGACGAGGTGCAGGAGAAGGACCTGAGGGGAACAGACAGTTCGTTGTCTTTTTGTCCAAACAGCCAAAACACAGAAGGGGCTGAGATTCTATAAAAACTGTAGGTAAGCAGAACTTTTCTACCAACACTGCACAAAAAATGCATGAAGAAACACTTGAGGTACATCAAGAAAAAATATTAACAAATGTTTGTAAATAAAAAAAACATGATCTGGAGGGTGGATTTGTGAATGATAAAGCTCCAGATGAAACTTACCTACAGTCTGAGAGGGAACAGAGGGTTTTTCATTGAGGTCATCGATCTAAAACATTTAGAAAAATCTATTACAGATAAAATCATCATCATTCTACTATAGAAACTGTATTTGTTAGTGCTCACAAGACAGGAGTATAAAACAGACAAAAATGCATCTGTGCTGCATGGTTTGCAAAAGAAACCATCACCCTTTCAAGCAGATGTTAGAGGAGAGGCAGCTTTACTTCTGATTTAGAAATCAAATTGACTTAGGCCCATCAGAGCAATGCATCATCTCGTGTTAGTTAAAGCAGATGCTATTTACAATAAAAAGGGGTTGTGGAAAACACATGCACAGTGACGGGTCAAAATAAGTTTATTTTTCATGCAACAACTGAAAATCAAATCAGGTGCAGACTCAGTCTCAGTTAAAAGGGCTGAAGTCTGGCTTCCATCTTTAGAACACCCTAAAAAACATGATCCTTGCGCTTTAGTTGTTCTTCTTTTGTTCGATTTGTGTTTGGATGATACATTTTTTAACTAACCAGGACACTAGAATATCAAATCACGCAATCAAGCTTTACAGCTGCTTTAATAATATGGTTATACTTATTTTGACACCTGCTTTGCGAGTCATCTTTGCTGCATTTAGAGAAACAGGAGTAGAAAACATCCTACAGCATCAAACTTGTGACAAGTTGTTTGTGCAAATCCTCAGCATGTTATCTGTATCAGATCTACTGATCAAAATATTTTTTCCATCAGATCAAACCAGGAAGTTGACGTAAAGCCTCTATTCTGTGTGCACCTACAGATTCTACATGTTATGGTAGACTTCCATCACTAGTCTGTGTCCTTTTAGTTGATCCAAAGGTGTAAATAAAATATGAGGATCACTAAACCAGGGTAACAGTATTTCTTAAAGTCAGTCTGATCTACTCTTTGCTTACTACATTTATACTTTAAGTTTAACTCTCTGAATTGGCAAAATTGTTTTATTTTTCTTAGACTTTTAAAAAATATATATAAATACCTATGTCCCTGATTAAAAATATTAACAATGATTAGGGCAGAATGTTCTCAGTCAAAAGCTGTTGCTTTAAAAAACAAAGGTCACAACCGAAATCAGCTCTAGACTTTTATGGGTAAATTAGTACAAAAAAAAATATCTCAATTTAATAGAAGTCCTAACAAATGGGTGTGTGCACGACCCATGTACGCACCCTGGTTTGAATTGGACCTGTGGTCTTTTGCTGCATGTCTCTCCCCCTCTCTCATACCCCCTTTACTTTCAGAAAAATGAGCCACTAGTGCCGTAAAAACTCAAAAAAAAAAGAGGTCGTAACAAATATAAAGATAAGGGAATTTTTGTTTTAAACGGACAGCGATCTTAATGCGAAGGGCGGCTGCAAAGTTATTTAGTAGATGCAATCCACTGGATTTTTCTATTTATTACATTTTACCTAATTCAATTCTATTACAAAACATACAAGGACTGGCCATGTTTTGTTGTGTAAAGTACTTTAGGATTACTTTAGCTGTAATTTTGCACTACATACGTCTAAAAAGTTGTATTACCCAAAATTGAGTCAGCACTCCAATCTCACTTCCAGCACATAGCTGTTAGTTAATTATATTTTCTGAACACTTAAAGAATACAAGGACTGTGCCCATGTCTAGTTAGATACGGACCTAACTACATTTATAAACATAGATGAAGCAGCCGAAATTAGGAAAAATATGCAAGTATGGAAGGCAGGCAAAACTGCAAACAAGCCAAATAAACCGTCCTTCCCTGAGAGCTTCTCTGCTCTGTCCGTCTGTCCATCTGAGGGGAAGGGGAGGGGCTGAGGGGTGGGGAGGCATTGAGGTGAAGGGTTCAGTCACTTACAGACTCGTAGGTGGGGGGAGAAGTAGGCAGCTGAGGGGGCTGCCCTCCTACCCCTGGGGGCGGGAAGCTGTTGTAGGTTCCAACTGAAGGGTTATAAGGTTCCTGAAGGAAAAAAAGTGAAAAACATTGGGTAATTATATTCCTTAAAATCGTACACTTCATTACAGACAATGGATATGTTGCAATATATATCATATATAAAAAGTATATTATTAGTCCAACAAAGACAGTTTCTAAATATAAGATTTTGGTATAAATCAAAGGTTCAAAGCACAAAATACTTTTTTATGCTCAGCTAAGGGCAATAAGACACTGAATGTGTCTCATATTGGCTACTGTCAATGCTTATAACATTAATAATACACCTAATTTATAACAAACTATATTCATGCAAGTAAGCGGTTATTAAAAAGAAGACCTAGTCAATAAAACAATCGACATGTTAAAAAAAAGACACTTTACAAAGCAGGTAAAATAATAGTGCCTGAGTGCTAAACAAAAACAGAGAAGAAAAATGCTCTGTAAATTTAGATTTTATTACAACTGTCGGGTTTTAATAAAATTGTACCAACTAATTTAGTAATTTTTAGCATTTTTTTTCATGTTTGCTATAACTGAACATCCAAACTAAAAAGGGTTAGGAAAAGAGGAAAAAAAAACAAAAGTATCCAACATCTTCGAGTTGTCTTTAGATAAAATGGTAAAAATGGATCTATATATTGATATCAGGTTAAAAATACCTCCAGTTAATAATATTTTCAGAGAATCTTCAATTTTACGTTAAAATAAACAGAAATAAATTCTAAAATTCAGAACTGGAAATGGTTTAAAGGGAATTTCCTACTATTTAAGACATCGTAAAGCTGTTAAAAATCTATTAATTGCAGCAGTAGTAGTTAAAAGAAAACTAGAAATTTCTTACGGCTCCTTTTGGAGGTGGGTAGTTAAACGCTGATGGCATGGGCATGGGCATTGGCATAGGCATGGGCATATGCATAGCTGTGGCAGGAGGAGCAGAGAAACCTCCTCCACCACCTCCTCCTCCACCTCCATTCTTCCTGTCTGCATTCACATCAATGAGGTCTGCCTCTTCTCCGGGACACACTTCAGGCTAGCCAGAGACAGTGCAGGTAAATAACCAAGGCTGTGTCAGCCTTCATTTACAGTCAAAAAGAAAAAAGTATAAAGGAAAGACAACAGCATACCCGGACCATGGCGTCAGGCTCATATGGCACATTATAGTTCTTGGCAATCTCTATCAGATAACGCTCCACTAAGATCTTGGGAGGGGCCTCCACACTCAGTTTGTGCATCAGCTGTAAACATATAAGATAGTTACTCAACACTCTTATTTAAACCTTTGACAAAAAAAAAAAAAATTATAATATATATATATATATATATATATATATATATATATATATATATATATATATATCCTACCCTGTCATTGACTGTGCCGATCTGGTTTGTCCTGCACAGCTTGCCATACTCCTTGCTGTATTTCGCACAGAGCTGTTCAGAAACCTGAAGAAAGAGCAACTGATGAGACTGACTTGATACCAGTAAACAACTCACTTGGAAAATTGCAAGTCTTATTTCATATCAGACCTTGCCAGGTTTACACACACAAGGATTCTGAATTTTGTTCCACTGTGCTGTCAACGTACAGCCATCCTAATGTGCATTATTTGTCGGAAAGTTAAGAGGCACTTACAATCTTCAGTTCGTTCACCTCTGACTGCAGGCGTGGTGCTGCCCAGATGAGCGTAGACACTGCCTCTTGCAAGCCCGGATCTAGTTCCCTGGCAGGCACAAAAAAAAGAATTGAATGAGCATTGTGACAGGTTAATAAAGTCACCGTGGACTTTTTCAATACTCACTTCATGGACTGGATAAGTCCGAAACGAGTGAGCAACAAGTCACAGTAAAGCTCCAGGATCTCCATGGCTTCAACCAGGTAGTCCTCTCTGATGATGTGCTCAACACGAATCCGGGCCCGCTCATCTTTACCAGAGGACAGGTAATCTGCAATCTCCTTCCTTGCCTTTTGGGCGAGCTCAGCTTCATTTGAAATATGGAGAGATGGGTTAAGAGTAAACTGTCACAACATGCAAAAAGAAGAGGAAATTAATCCAGCTTATTTGACAAATTCAATCCACTCACATTTCTTCTTTTCTAGGAGTTTAAGTCTGTTTATGACCAGGCGGAGGTTAACTCTGAGCCTCTCTCCTTTGAATCCTCCTCCCAACATGACGACAATCTGAACAGAGGAGAATCAGGTGATCAGAAAACACGGAAACATCTGATGCAGTGACTCACCTCATCATGGGAGAAATGACTAAATGACCAATCACTTTAAGCCCCTAACTAATTTAAATATACATGTTAACACAGCGGAAATTACGAGCCGATATCAAGCTAAAATTGTAACTATTCGCTATGGTTATGCTAAACTCAGTTAGCTTTAGCTTAACACAAGCTAACTAAAAACTTTGATACTTTCGGACTGACAGTATATTACATGTTTTATTTTCAAATCCATTTATTGTATCTCAGTATTACAGTGGTTTACCTTCAACTTAGACCTAATTGTTTACCAATTTCCAGTTATTACTTAGCTGCTCTGCGTTGGTTAGCTTCTAACTATTAGCCTTTACTAAACGCTTTCAATATAAAGAAAACTGACTCCAACTCACGTACTTTAGATAAACTTCTTTTTTACACTAACCGACATTAAAAACGATTGAGAAAAGACTCACCTGGAAATCAGTACCCGTTAGTCAAGAAAACACACGCCACTTGTTTGGATTTGTTAGTTTCGTCGCCTGGTTCACTTCCGTAATGGTTAGGGTTTACGTCATGGGATTTTACCTTAGAGGCGGGGTCGCGATATGGCAGTCCGATTGGATATTTGATTACAATTCAATGTTGGATTTCTTTTTTCCAATATGCAGTAAGAACTGAAGAATATCGTCCCCGTGTTTACGTCTCAAGTAGCCATTGTGCCAACTAATCCAGAAGTATATATATTTAAACATACATACATATACACACATGTATATATATATATATATATATATATATATATATATATATATATATATATATATATATATACATATTTACACACAGCTTTGTTTTAATGACATATGGGGACATTTCATTGACTTGCATTCATTTTATATGGCCTAACTCAGACCCTTACCCTATTACCAAGATGTACCCAATCCTAACCTAAACTGAATTCACACCTTAGTCCTAAACCTAACCCCAACTCAAAGAACAGAACTTTATAGGAACCAGTTGAATGTCCCCATATGTACCTGTAAGTCTTCGCATGTAGGATATTTTACAAAACACTTCCCTCACATTGTAGTTAAAGCAAGACCATATATATAGACACACACACACACACATATATATATCAATGATTGTGAAGCTTTACTAGCCATTTTAGATTTTTTTTTTTACATGACAGACTGCTTTGATGTCAGTTTCATGCTGCAGACAATGGAGACAGTAAGATTGCATTATCTATTTTATAATAATGATCTCAATAAATCAAGGCTAAAAAAAAAGTTAAGACTGAAAATTAACCTTTGCTGAGAGAATCTTAAACAGGCAGACCCACAACCCAAATCAAGGCTCCACTTATTCTTACTGCAGCACATTAATATAAGATATACCGGTACATAAAAAAAAATAAATTTTTTGATTTTTTTGATGAATAAACACAAAGACGTTTGACCAATGTCTACATTTTAATACAAGCAGAAAAAAAAAATACAGACTTTTAGGTTTGGTGTATTGCAACTGTTTAATAAAAATAAACTGTACAATAAAAAAAAGGGTCAACATAAAAAAAAGACATCCGTCATTACAGCTTGAGTTTGCTGACAGAAACATCCTTTTTCTTCTTCTTCTTTGAAGACTGCTCCTTTGCACTTTTGATCTGACTTTTGACCTGGTCCTGTAGCTGAGAGAAGAAGGCTTGAGAGGACCGCAGAGCCTTGTCCTTTCCTTCATCCTGAAAGAAATAAAAGAAAGCATAAGCTAAGTTACTTCAGAAACACACAGAACTATTCAAGGGTAATTGTTTAGTTTGGAATCCAAAAGGTGTGGTTCAACCTGTATGAAAGGAACATGAGTAAGCTGCCAGAACAAATGCTAAAAATAGACAGTCAAAAAAAAAGGTATGCAGGTAAAAAAAAAATGTGCTGATCAATGAATAACTTTTTTTTTCCAGTGGCTTCTGCTGTTAGTGGGTTTGATACAAAAGATTCCTTATTTACAAGCATGAGGAGTGCAAGTTATTGCAAAAAAAAATAGAGCAATGTCTTTAGAAGATTTGTTCACATTAAGAAATAAATCTCAGAAAAGCTGATTCATGCAAAGTAGAATCAAGTAGAGTAACCAACCTTTAGTATTTTGGCTTTGCCTCCCTTTGTGAGTTTCTTTAGGTTTTCAGTGACTTCAGCCTTCGATGGCTTTTTGTTCTCCCCAGTTTTGCTGGCCTCTTTGAGCTTTAACCTCTTCTCCTTCTCCTTAATCTTCAGATGCTTCACTTTCTTCTTGTGCCGTCTCTCACGCTTCTTGTCGGTTGATGTCTTCTCAGTATCGCCCAGTAAGTCTCCAGCCTTATTCTTCTCCTGTTGTGAACCAAAACAGTTATAAAATGTAACAACAAAAAATCTGGTGTGAAAATAAATGTTTCTTAATGTATTGAAGATGGCAAACCTTGACTTCTTCTGGTGCAAGGAGAGTAGCATCACTAGTGCTGACTGGAGCCACCTCCTCCATAGTAATGGATGGGAGGTTAGATACCACCTTGACTTCTGGAACAGGCTGTTAGAGAAAACAAACATGGTTAGCATCATTAGCATCTACAATGTTCTGCTATTCATTAAGATATTTCTTTTTATTTAATTACATTTATTTCATATTGAAATACATTATATTTTAGTTTAGATGGAATCTTTTTAAACAGACAAAAATAAAAACTCACTGGTTTTGGAGTGAAGTGGAAGTTGGAAAGGGCATCCAGCTTCAAGAAGAGGGTGTCCATTAGCGTTTGAATCTCTACATGAGATGGGTTCTCCTCCTGCTCTGTCTTATTCTGATAAATAAAAACAATGATACCATGGATGCTGTTTGTTTGTATGTGATAGAGCGCAAATGTGAAATAGCTTAAGGTCAAACCTGAGTCTGTTTGATGTATTCTTGCTCATAGATTTCTGCTAGACTCTGCTTGCTCTTTTCATGGTCCAAAGTCAGTCGCTTTTTGTATTCAAAAACTTCCTCCTTAGGCTTTTCTTTACGCTCTACATCATCAAATGCCTGATATGAACACAAGATAAAGATAGAGTTTGATAAACAGGATAATAATAAAACAGAGAAGGTAGCCAAACGCTTCTTTGACTGACTTGGTCTTTGATTCTCTGTTTGATAATGTCTTCAAGCAGGAGGGTGGTCTCTTCAGTGATGGAAGGGGCTAAAAAAAACAAAACAAAATACATTATATGGTTTATCTTAAAGGTTTGCAACTTAAACTGCAGTATATCGCATGTTGGTGACACAGTAACTGATTATAGTTTTACATATCCGAAAGCAGGTTAATGCTCACTAACCCATTCTTGATGCCTGATCAAACTCCACATCTTCCTCCAGCATACTGTTTTCTGGACGGGTCTGCGCCGTTACCTCTCCAGATAGCTGCCATGGTTTCTCTGCCAGAGCTGCGTTCTCCAGCTCTTGAATCTTTTGGGACATCTGCAAGGTAGAAGACCAGTAATCACCATTAGCAAATTACAATGAACATTCTTTCACATATTCTTCTAAAAATATGACTTAATTTGAATCCATTCTTAATTTTTTTAATTACTTTTTTTGAAAGTGCATTGAAACAAAATGTTCTGAATTGGCTCTGTATATTAAAACCAAATGGAAAACTCCTTTGAATTTAAATTAACTGTAAAGAGATGGGGTAACTTGTAGTGATCAAGCGTTTTCTGTCCAAGGAATGATTCAAAAAGTGTTGTCATCACAGGATACAGAAACAGCAAAAAAGAAAGATAAACTGTAAAACTTGACATGGAAAACCTTTCTGATTCAACAAGGGCAAAAACAATCGGATTAAGCATGATTAATCAAGTATCAAAATAATTACCAACTAAATCAGTAATCGATTAATTGTTACCTGGAGTATAGAGACTGTAAAACATGTCTTTAGCTGTCAGAGTTACCCACTTAGAGCAGTAATTATTCCAAAATGTTAAAAGCAAAAAAAAGATGCCTTTCTCTGTCAATATGATCTATCCAGAACTCATTAAATAGAACATTTTAGTTTCACCTGGTTTAATTCTGTCAAAAAAAAAATCTTCTTTGAGGAACCTTTTGTTATCCGATTATTAATCAATTAATCGAAAAAGACTGATTAATCAATTAGCAAAGTAACCATTAGTGGCAGCTCTAGACTCAACATGTTTATTCTACAGTTGTGATGTTGCCTTATTTAAAAAATCTAACTTATGGTACCAGAAATGGATGTCAGAATTAGTAAAAAATCAAATCAGCATCTGAAGCTTCGTTACCTTCTCCTGTCGCTTCTCATATGAAGACTTGACTTCTGACTTCTCGGGGCTCGTACTTTTTCCTCCAAATATTTCTTCTATGTCCTCTCCCTCGCTGTCTTCATCCTCCTCCTCGTCGTCTTCCACAGAAAGGTCAAAAGTCACCTTCTTTTGAGATGCTTTAGTTGAACCTCTATTCTCGTCTCTACCATAGAACACAGACATGCTGCCATCAATCTAAAGTGTTTCTGTGACATATGGTTAAAACATCAAATACCTCTGCTTTCACTTACTCAACATCAGCCTCATCTTCATCATCATAATCATCTTCTTCATCATCGTCTTGGCTATCCGCCATCTCGTCATCCTCTCCATCAGACTGCTCATCAGTTTTAGCTGCTTCACTGTCCACCGCATCAAAGAAGTCGGTGTACTTGAGATCCCTGGAGCTCTTTGCCTGCCAAGAAAATCTGAATCAATAAATTTTCCTCATCTGCATCACCGTGCCCTGATGTAGAGTGTGATGTACATACAGTGTTTTTCTTTTTCTTTTTGGAGGACATCATCTCTTCCAAGTCCAAATCATCATCATCCTCATCGGAAGGAAGGTCCTGAAAGTAGTTAATATCATCCTCTCCTTCGTCCTTTTCCTCCTGTTTGTCCATCTCATCGAGAAAGGACTCCATCTCTGACAGTTTGAAGAATTTATCATCGACCTCAGAGGGAACAACTTTCCCTTTGGGGCCAGTCCTCAGGCCTTGCTTTTTCTGCTTTTCTCGTTTCTCAAGAGCATCCACATCAAAATCTATATCAGAATCTTCATCATCAGAGTCTCTTTCTCTCTCTGCCAGCTTTTTCTTTTGTTGTTTAGAAGACTGTTTAGTGTCACTTTCTTCATCTGTCTCTCCTTCCTCCTTTCCATTCTCCTCTTCTTCGTCATGTTCCTCCTCTTCTTCTTCTTCTTCATCATTATCATCATCATCATCATCTGACAGCAAAGTAAATTTGTTTACTAAAGCCTCATCAATGGCATTTTTAAAATGCTTCATTACAGCATTGTTCTGCAGCTCCAGCTCCTGCCAAATCTGCTCCTCATCAAAGTTTTCCACAACCAACTGAGCTAGGGGGCTGCCCTTGTATCCTGCTGGCTCCTGAAATTTTTGGAGGTCATACAGGGTCTTGGTGAGGGAAGTAAATTTAGCTGCAGGTCCATCTTGAAGACTGTAAAAGTTTAAGCAAATGTAAAATCCGTTAGATCTAGAAACACTGTTAAAGTTATACATTTTAAATGGGTATATTTTACCTGAGCAAATCACATCAGTAAAACAGCAAGTTTGTGATCCCAAACACACACAAAAAAAATAAATAAATAAAACATTCAAAACTAAAGTTTAATTCTGAACTTTCATTTAAATTATTCCAAAACTTCTTGGCTCACAGACTTTTAGAATAAAACCAAGCAACTAAACAGGTGTTCATTAAATACTGATGCACAACATCAAAGATGTATATCATTGCAATATCAGTTTGTGCGACATTTAAAGCAAAGAACTGATTAGAGTGCAACAACTGACAACTAATTTTCCAAGAAGTATTATAAACTGGTGTTTTTCATGGGCCAGAAAGGTCTCAGGCAGTAAAGCGTCACAGCAGACTTATGACTACAGAGTAAAATGTCATAGATTCAAGCACTTTGAATTCAGTACCAGGGACATTGTTTTGACAGAAAATCACAACTGCATATTTTCCTCATATCATGTAATCTTAGCCAAGATAAAACAGTAAATAATGACATAATCATGCAAAGGCATAACCCAAACAAACAATCTGTCTATGTATGTATATATATATATATATATATATATATATATATATATATATACACATACATACATACATACATACATACATACACACACACTCTTCAAATAGAATGTAAATAATTTATAGGAACACAAATTCCTCTATGCATACTATATTGCATACTAATATGCATGTTGCTTCGTGGAACCGAACTAATTTTGCTTAAATCGACTGTATTTTGCTCCCACGTTACGCATTTTTGTTGCAATACATCTACATTTTAACTCGATAATGCTACACTCAAGAGCATTTAGCTTTAGCCTTGCGTTAGCGGGGTAAACGTTTAATTTAAATAGCGGAACTTTATACAACGGCTCTTTCACCGGCACAAGGTACTTGCCTCAGAAAGTTTTCTGGCTGGGAAGTGTTGTCGTTTATTATCTGGAGACAGTCTTCCAGAGCTCTTCTCATTTCTATGTTAGCCATTTTCCCTCACATGTGTACCCCGTGCGAGTGTCACAGGTAAATATGCTCTCTCTGAAACCCTTCCGTTGCTGCAGCGTTTTGGTTCCGCGGAACAAACATGGCGTCCGCTATGCTGAAGGTTGCAGGTTCGTGTTTACGCTGATTATGTTAAACACCAAGAAGTGCACTGATCTGTTATTGTTGCTACCTTAATGTAATTTATGGGGCTTTCCCTCCCACGTTTCTAGTGACAGTAAAGGAACTTTATGATAGCTGGACAGAACTATAATCAGGTTCCATCAGTAGTTTGTCTAAAAGAAGGCATTTTCATAAGGTCGCTTCGGAAGCATTTTAATGAAGCAAACCAACATCAGCTTTTATTTGTTTTAATATGCAGAGCAACGCATTCACTTAATTTCAAACGTCAAATAATGCAAGAAAACTGAAATATATTTTTTGACAAAAGGATACATTGTCTTTAGACCAAATATTTGTAAATATTTACAATTTTTGATAATTTGTAACTAATTAGCAAGCCTTCCTAAATTCTATTGGTCAACTACGGAAGAGGATTAGGGCCACTGAGAAAAATAAAAAAAAGTTAACTGACTTTTAAATTTTATTTCAGTATAATGTGAGAAAAAAGTCATAATTCTGACTTTAATCACAAAATTCTGACTTAATCTCAGAATTCTGACTTTTCCTTCAGAATTCTGACTCTAATCTCAGAATACTGACTTTTTTTTAATCAAAATCCTGACTTTAATCTCAGAATTCGTACTTCTCTCTGAATTCTGACTTTTTTAATAGAATTCTGACTTTAATCTCAGAATTTTTCCCTTTTTATCAGAATTCTGACTTTTATCTCCGAATTCTGACTTTAATCTCAGAATTCTGACTTTTTTTCTCAGAATTGTGACTTCTGAGTGCAGGGTATACCTTTTATAATTTTTTCTCAGAATTCTGACTTTAATCTCAGAATTCTGACTTTTTTTCTCAGAATTGTGACTTCTGAGTGCAGGGTATACCTTTTATAAGTACTTGACAAACTGATATTAATGCAAGCTTTTTTCCCCTTTAGTTTAGATCTAAAGATAATGGACTAGGTTTATAATTTTTTTCCATCTTCAGCAATGACTTAAATTTTACCTTAAAGGAGAATTCCGGTTTTTAACACTTTTAGCCCATTTTCTGTAGTGTCCAGGATGAAATCGAATGATCGACACCAAAAGTTTGACAATTGCTCCTGTCTCTGCTTTTTGGCTCATGCAGAATCACCCCCTGGCTGCTTCAGAATGGCTTCCATAGAGCATGTCCGATAATGTCCTTAAAACAACCTTAAACGTTCTTTTTTTAAAATATGCTACTCACCGGGTCGTCAGCGCTGTTCAATGACGTTCCAAAAAAAGTTTCGTAAAGAAAAAACGTTCCTGTAGTGTTTTATTTAGCATTTTGTAAATCCCATTGAGTTCTGTTGGAATAGTCAATATCCCTCCGCCACCGGAAACGGAAATGGGGCCTGTTTACACAGTTGTAGTCTTTTCGCTTCACTCTGTGTACTCCGACGTCGAGGTGCTAACGTCTCTGTTAAACACTTTAAAAAACTCTGAAAATGGAATACGAAAGGTGGATTCTTGATTCTCGACGTCGGAGTACACAGAGTGAAGCGAAAAGACTACAACTGTGTAAACATCCCCATTTCCGTTTCCGGTGGCAGGGGAATATTGACTATTCCAACAGAACTCAATGGGATTTACAAAATGCTAAATAAAACACTACAGGAACGTTTTTTCTTTACGAAACTTTTTTTGGAACGTCATTGAACAGCGCTGACGACCCGGTGAGTAGCATATTTAAAAAAAAGAACGTTTAAGGTTGTTTTAAGGACATTATCGGACATGCACTATGAAAGCCATTCTGAAGCAGCCAGGAGGTGATTCTAAATGAGCCAAAAAGCAGAGACAGGACCAATTGTCAAAATTTTGGTGTCGATCATTCGATTTCATCCTGGACACTACAGAAAATGGGCTAAAAGTGTTAAAAACCGGAATTCTCCTTTAATTTATTAAAAGAAAATGACGAACCATTAATGGAGAAACTCAGTTTTAACTCATTTGATGAAAGCCAGTTTTTAAGTTTCTGCCAGCTCTCATCATCATTCTCTGTTTGTTCAGTGGCAGGCATTTCGAGATGTTCTCGTATCACCCTCCTTAGAGCCTGTTCAACATCAACCCCCCTCCAAGGGGGTGTTCCTGGATCCCTGTGGAAGCTGGGGAAGCTGAACCACATAGCCATCGCCGTCCCCGACATGGAAAAGGCCACTGCTCTGTATCGAGATGTGCTGGGTGCTACCGTTAGCGAAAAGGTCCCCCTGCCAGAGCATGGCGTCTACACTGTGTTTGTGGAACTGGGAAACACCAAGCTGGAGCTGCTCCATCCTCTCGGGGAAAAGAGCCCCATCTCTGGGTTCCTACAGAAAAACAAGTCAGGAGGCATGCACCACATTTGTATTGAGGTAAAATCAAACTGATATTGATTTCAATAAACACACTTTTAGTTTGATCCATAAAGCTCATAACAAAGATTATAGTTATATTTCAAAGCAGGTGACTATTATTAGAACATTTTGGAAAGAAAAACTTGAATTATTCCTTTTATTAATGTCAACCAAGAAGACTTTTCCATAATTATAAGCTGTTTGCATTGCTAATATCAGGACTTTCTTTTATTGATTTATTTTTGGAAGTATTCCTTTTTTTATTTCTTTATTTTAGATTTTAATTTCAAAAAGCTGTTTTTTTAGGAAGCAGACATTTAAATCTTTCATGGTGCGTTCAGACCAAACGCAGTTTCCGGGTGGATTTGGGCGAACACCGCGGGGAGTTCACCGCCCTGTAATTCAAATGCAAAGTGTTTACACCCTGGACGTCGTCAGCAAATAGGATTTTCAGCTACGTGAAGCTGACAAAAAACTCAGCAAGCATGATCATTTGTTAAAATAAAACAAAACAAAAAAGATTATGTTACTGTTGTTTCAGAGATATAATATAAGATACAATAAAGATAGTTTTAAGGTCATTCAGAGGCCAACTATCCCCCATTAAGCTCTGAATTAAATGAAAATTATCTAGACCGCTTTTTCAGTGCTACTTGATTTGTGCAGGTAAAACTATTATGTGCTGCTTTGGTTTTTAAGATAGAATAATTTGTTGCCATCCCAGCAGACACGCTCTTTTTTGCTGATATAAAGTTATTGCATAACATCACATGTTATTCCTGTGCTGGCATTGAATATGTTGGCGGGCATTTTTATGTAGTGGCTGAAATGATTGTTTAATATTTAGTAAATCACCAGCCTCCAAGACCCTCTGTTTTTGACCTGCCGTTACCCTGACAATCCCATAGCATTTCCTGTCAAGGTATCGCTGTCTGTCCGCATTTGACAACAAAAGCACAGGTGAAACTTAACATCATGGACTGCTGCTTAATTGTGCCTTATGAAAAACTTTTGAATCAACTTGGGGAGACCATACATTTTTTTGAAAAGCTCAAAAAACACTGAAAACTTCCCTGTAAATCTACCCCCTCAGAAAGCACTGATGCTGGGCATTGGACAGGGACAGACCGGGTTCTGTGCTGGAGGTAAGGGAGGATGATTAACAATCTTTCTACAACTAAATGAAAAAAAATTTTTTTTTAACCGACTAAAACTAATTTTTTTCTCCGTATTCAATTTTATGAGAAAAAAGCTACAACCAGTTCCTGATTGGCTGCCGTGATGGGATTTTATAGAAAAGTTCAGCTCGTTTCAACTTCAGCAATCACCGCTCTGCTCTCTCCATGCGGTGCGGCTTTTTGACAAAAACTCGGTTCTATCTATTCACACCATAAAAAAGGGGGGGCGGGGAACTCTCTCATCACGTGGAGTTCACCATTTGCCATTTCACTGTCCTTCCCTGCGCAGTCTGTATAGGAATTCTATCTGAATCCACCTGCAATCGCCGTGGATACCGCGTCTGGTCTGAACCACCAATAGGCATACAAAGACCTCTGAAGACAAAATATTCTTGTTTTGTTAAATCACATGAGAAAAAAAACTAAGAACCCATTTTAGATTAAAGAAGCTTATCACAACAGCCTGATGTTAAGACAAATGGTTTCCAAATCTCTAAAACTGCATCTCGAGGTCCTGTTAGGCCTTTGCTTATTTTTTTGTTTCTGGTTTCATAGAGTAGGACCCTTTATCTGTTAGCGATAGCTTTTAGGTCTTAGACCTCCTCCCTTTCCACTACATACCCTTTACCCTCATTTTGCTTTGTATCATCTGCACAATATGCTGTTTAAACCAGATATGAAAAAGTAAAGTCAAAAAAAGCAACTTCCCTCAGTTTTATAAATTCAAGGCCCACAGCACCTGACATTCCTGTACAGATAGTTCAACATATTTTTCATTTTTTACTTGATAAAGATTTAGACTTGTCATGCTTTAAAAGTAGCTTCTTTCAAGCTCTCATAACTAATCAATCCAACTTGTATATTTTTAGGTGGCCTATAAATGTTTAAATACCCATTAAGAACCCTGGTCTATAGAGGGAGAACATGTACAGTGCATATAGACAGGAGTGTAACCCAGAGCCCTCTTGCTATAATGGTACAGTGCAGATAACTGCATTGCTGTTGGCTATACAGGCCAAACCTAGGGAATACATTCTATAACAAATACTCTCTGAGGTTTCCTTAAGAACAAACATTACACATGTTTGTGTTTTTCTTAATAAATGAAGATACAGGTCTAACTTATTTGCTTTACTTTGCTAATCAGGAGAATAAAAGTTAACATTAAATGAATTTAATGTTACAATTCGTTATGATAAGTAGCATGTAAATATTTATAGCATTAGAGATTAGGTTGCTATTTGTATGGAGCTTTGTGACTATTTGATATTCAGGAGCTGGAACCGAAGGTTAAAGAAAACCACCTCAAACAGCTTCACCTTTTTTATCTCAATACTAAAAACAATCTCTTAATAATAGTGAAGATAATTAGAAACTTTAATTTCAACGTACAATGTTGCTGAAATCCGTGTTTGTTCACATTTTGTTTGCTCACTTAAATTTTACTTTAAAAAAAAAGCCCTAAACTGTGCATATGTGAAGATGATTGACAGAGGCGATTCTGTACTCGCTCAGTTTATGGTACAGCAGGGTAAAGTTTAGGATAAACCAACCGCAGATGAATGATTAACAGAGATTTGAATCCTATCTGCAGGTGGACGACATTAACGCCGCAGTGGCTGAGCTGAAGTCAAAGAACATCAGAACCCTGTCGGCGGAGCCAAGGATAGGCGCTCATGGGAAACCTGTCATGTTCCTTCATCCTAAAGACTGTGATGGTGTGCTGGTGGAGCTAGAAGAAGCATGAACATCTCTGCTTTGCATGAACTGTTAGAGGGTCTCTGGTTCATCTACACGTCCCTCAGTGACTCTGATAACACAGTGATAACAGTGTTGTTCTGTAAAGCACCTGTAGTTTCAGGAACTGTTTTCCACTCTTTTTTTTCTAAGTCATTTAAAATGGTGGGGACTTTTTGGCAGTTTCCATAAAGCTAATTCATACTAACAACTCAGTTACTCTTTTAATACTGTTTTTTTTTTGTTTTTTTTTTTTTTGTTTTTTTAACAAAGTGTGTCTTTTTTTTTCTAAAAGAAAACAACGATCTAAAGTTTGCAGCCAATAGTACCCGGCAAAACAGAAATAAAACACCCACACGTTTAACATCTTGGTGTAATTCAGAGAGCTGCACTACTTCATCTGGCAAACATGCTGATTTATCTGAGTGGTAGCATCCAACAATCCTATATGGCCATTATAGAATATTTTTCAACTGAAAATGGTTAAAATTAAAACCAGCACCGCTCAGAATTTTGACCATCCTGATAACCTTGTGTCAGTTTCTACTATATTGCTTTGGTATAATAAATTTTTTGAAACCTATTTTGTATGTAGCTGTAAACTGGGTAAAAAAAATCTTGTCATCTGATTTATTTCACAAGTTTGAAGGATACAAACAAACTTCTTTAACCATTCCCCTCCAAATAATCTATCTAGCTTAGATACTCTGCAAAGGTTCTGCAGGATATATATATATATATATATATATATATATATATATATATATATATATATATATATATATATATATATATTGCCTGGTTATATGCATCGATAACCAGGCAAGAGGGTTAGATTTGTGGCTGGTGACCCTTTTCAATGTTGATTTGGCTGAATGTTTAAATCAGTATACATTATACATATGGTATTTGCATCCTCCTGAGTAGAGAGACAGGCCCACAGCATCACTGATCCTCCTCCATACCTAGCAGAGTTTAATAAGTCCTGTTTTACCTCAAACACACCTGAAATGTATGTTAATTTATTCTTGTCTCATCTAGCTAAAAGTCGAGTTTAAATAAAATAAATGTCCCATAAGGGTAATTTATGATGAATGGACAACAAAGGGCAGTCTAGCCTGTAATTGTCTAATACCCTGTTTCTTTTGTCTTTGTAATCCTTCTCACTTGGCAAGATAAATATAGGTTACCACCCAACACAGTGTCTAGATAAAATGGCCCTCTGTTTCACATTATTTTATCCAAAGCAAAATAATTAAATACCAACCAAATGTCACAAATAATCAATGAATGTTTAAACAAGAAATTCAAAATCAAACAAGACCCAAGATTTTAGCCTGACCTTGAAAACATAATAATGTAAGGCTATGAAGAGAACCTTACGTATAACATATTTCTTATACAAGTCAAGAAGAAGGGAGTGTCTAGTTAAGAAGCACCGTTTGGCAACACGGAGTTTCTTTTGTATTTTCTTCTTTTGTGTTTCTTCCTAACCTATACAGGCCTGGAAGACCAGTATTTGCATTGTGTGAGTGAAGTAAAAAAAACGAAGCATTTATTAAGTTGCCATTTAAATCATTGAATTTGGTAAAAATGTAATTTAGGCCAATATATTTTTTGGTGTTAACATGATCATGAAGTGTCACTATGATTTTAAACCATTTTCTGTATAAATCCCTTTGTACTAGTTTTAATCTAAATACTTTCAGAATCTGAGATTGTAGGGGAGGGACTCTGCTCAGCTGACAGTGACAATGTGTCACTAAAACCTCTCTCACAGGATTCAACAGGGTGTTTGTTTTTGTAAAGCATACCTATGAGTGTCATGATTGATAAAATATAGGTTTGTAATTGGTGTGAATTTTTAAATCAGTTTCACAAACTTTATTCCACCAGAGAAACCCCTTTCTTCTATTGATATATTTGTTCCCAGTTTCTATGCAATGGGTTTTTATTACGGTACAATTTTGTTGAATCACCAATGGAGAAAGCAGCTTAGGTTTCTGAAGGGAAAACAACAGATCAGATTGCAAAACACTAGTCTGGTGACACATGCTACAGCTGAGACATTTCCTGCAAAATGTTTCTTTGGATGACTTGGAAGTTCCCCGATGACCTAACCTTTACATAACAGCAGGATAAATGTTTAGAGTCAGCTTCCACCCCCTCCCACCCCCCCAAAAAAAGGGAACATGTTCATTATAAGGTTTTTTTCAATAGAAAACAATGTCATAAAGACATTTGTTTCACGTGGAACACATTTTATATTCTTTACTGACTTTGAACGAGTAGTTAAAGGCTAAGTTTTGCCTTCAAACCACATGATTACACACCAAGAGTCGTGTTACAGCCTAAACACTAGTGTCCAAAAAGAATTCAAAAAGGAAACCAACTTGAAGATAACAGAAATGTGAAGATAACAGCAGCCACATGTGTTTATACAGACAATCCTAGTCCTGGGTTCTTAAAGTTTTAAAAATGTTTCTTGGAAACACTGAAGGTTGCAGGATACAAGACGAATGCATTTAATTGAGCAGAATTTTTGTTGCCCATAATGGTAGAAATCTGGTTGCGAAAAATTTATAGAAGTGTGAATACAAAAAGGAAATACAAAACCTAAACCCCAAGCAAAATTCTTTATAATCTGAGATTTACAGGTAAATAGCATGGATCTATTGCCTTTGTATAATTAACTTATATTTATAGCAGATCAGCTCACTTAATTCTTCTACAATAAATTGAATGTATAGTGCAGAATTAGACTGCACCTCATAGCCCTTCCAACATCCAGTAATGAACCCAATAATCAATTGGACTGATATTTTAGAAACTTAATGATAGGCATTTTCAGTTTGGATTAGCTTTAACTACAAGTCATGTGTTAAAGGGGATCTTTTGAAGCAATTACCAGAACTAGACCTTAGCACTTAAGACCATTGTCAAATGGTTATTAGTCTCGCTGCAGGTTGATCATTAGAGATGAAGTCTGTACTTGAGATTTGAAGTGAGAAAGTAAACAGCAATTATGCAGCAACACTTTGAGTCCTTAGACGGATGACGAATTGTTCTAAACTTCAGACTGAGATTATATTTTATTTTCAAACAAATTCAGTAACATGATCCTCTACTTTTAGACCGCTATGAAAACATAAAATAAACCCCTGCCCCCATATGAAAGGTTTATAGATTAGTATATTTAAGTGTAAATCAAACCCTTAACTCGTGACAGTGAATAAAATAAACCAGACAAGTGAAAATCCAGAGGGTTGGATTTATTTGATCTCACTTTGTTTAAAACAAGACAGCAAACATGCAGCGACTACATCTACAAATCCAAAAGGTGTTTCAAATAACTGTTGAGCTACAATGTGAATATAATGGCCAATTTCAAGCAGCAGTTATAAAACTTAAGCAAGATATAAATGTCCATAGATGGGAGCCTTTGCAACGTTCTGGACGGATTTAGCTGCTTTCTTTGCCCAGAGTGTGTTTGTCAAACAGGTACTCTGCCATGCCGTTCTGAGGAGCTCCCATGCGGCGCAGGTTGCTCACCCAGTCTCCCAATTCTTTGATGGACTTCACCTGCTCATCAAGGTAATGAGTCTCGATGAAATCGCACAGCTGAAAGACAATTAGACAGAACATTAAGTTTTTAAAATATTCAAACTTTCTGTTAGATGAGGGAGGCATCCAAATTTTATTTAGTGTTGAAAAACTCACATGTGGGTCATTGTGAGTGGAGCAGAGCTTGTGCAAGTCCAGCAGTGACTGGTTCACACTCTTCTCCAGCTGGAGGGCACATTCAAGAGCTTCGACTCCGCTACCCCACTCGTCCCTGTCGGGCTTCTGTAAAACAATGCAGTGTGAAGGTCATAAACACGGGAGACCTTCTCGAAGAGCTCAAGACGAGTCAGTCTCCTCAAACTCTGCAGTTCAACGTTTTACTTGGGTTTGCTTTGAGTGGCCAGGCAAGATAAGCTGGAGATCATTCTCCCACCCTTATTTATCTTTTACCACTCCTCAAATGACATTTTCAAACACGTTATCTAACGTCCTTAAAAAGACCAGAATTTGTTTTTTCCCCCCCTTCCACTGCTTTATACCTTGATGTCCTGCAGGAAGATCCTTCCTCCCCTCTGGTTCTGCAGTTTCATTAGCTTTTCAGCATGCTCACGCTCCTCATGGGACTGATCACGGAAGAACTTGGCAAAGTTGTGCAATGCCTGATCATCCCGGTCAAAGTAGTAACCCTTTAAATATAAAAGAAAATACAAATTAAGAACACAATTCTTGTTTCAATATTTAGAATTAAGTCTTCCAAGACATAATTAATCCAGACAATGGCACATGAAAATTTTTGCGTCAAGTTGATCAAAATCTTGCCATGGTTGGCAAAAAACACCCCTTAGAACACAATCTCAAACAAACCTTTAACCTTTGGTTTAAAAGATAAAAAGTCACATAAGTCTTAAATTCATGTCTATTGCATATTTAAACATTTTAAATCTATCAAACTTTTTTGTCTAACATTTGCACTAAAACATCTCAACAAAGGAGGATTTTTTTTTCTTTCAACTGGAAACAATGCTGGTTTACAGTTCCTCTTTCAGGTAATTGTTCCCCATATGTTAAAGCACCTGTTCCACAAACTTTCCCCACAAAGCAGCTGCTTTTTATTTCCTCAGTTCATCTGGTAGACTCTCACCATAGACAGGTAGACATAGGAGGCGTACAGCTCCAGGTTGATCTGCCTGTTGATTGCAGCCTCGCAGTCCTGGTGGTAGTTTTGTCTCACCTGGGAAGTCATGGTTCTGAGAAAAAAAAAAAAAAAAAGTTTAATTTCCAATCAACTCAACATATTTGTAGGAATTAGGGCGTTTAAAATAAAAATTAAATGCAGTTATATTTGGTAATAATTTGTGAACAAAAATTAAAAGTGATGACTAAGAATAAATCTCCCTTAATTGGGAGAAACAGGAAAAAAACAAGCCAGGCTCTTGTGCGCCATAAACTGCTGTGGGCGTCGTAAAACCGCTATTGCGCCAAATGCCACATGAGCAGCGCCAATGTGGAAAAAAAAAATAAAAGTGGATATATTTGCTTTCTGGAAAACAAACCAACATTAACAATAAAGTCAACAAGGATTAAAATCAAATAGCTAATCTACCCTTACCGTACTGCGGTGGTGTCCTTCGGTTGGTTGCGTTGTTAGCAAAACAATTAGCTCTCAGCAAAGCGTGCTGGATAACTTCGCAGTTTCTCGATGGAAAGCTGAAAATATGCTATTTTTTAAATAAATGATTTGTCAGACAGTTGTAAGGTTGCCGTTCAAGCACTGTTGAAGCAGGTAACCTTCACTGTCTGCTAACGATGATCGACTGTAAGCGTACGTGATGAGCGTCAGTAAATAAAGCTGGAACGTCCCGGAGGGGCGGAGCTTTTCTGTTAGTGACGTTTTTTTTTTTGTTTTTTTTTTTTACTTATGAAAACAAAAATAGCGCAAAAATGGTATCTTTGACACACACCTTTGGAAAAAGTATAATTATTACAATATTAATGTTTGATTAAAAAATTTATTTTCACAAGTTTAAACATAAAATTATATATTT